GCTGGCAACAGAGACGTCTCGGTTGACGTTTCTGTGTAGTATGGGGCTAGCCCAACTGAGGGGATATAATGTATTGGCCTGGTGGGTTCAGGGTCTTTCAAGTGTGTCCTTCAGCTGTGTGTGTGTGTGTGTGTGCGCTTACGTACAGCTGGGTGTATTGCACAAAAATGGACATAGAATTTGTGTGTGTGTATCTGTTTGCCCATGTAGAATGAGTGCTTTGTGCATGTAAGAGTTGTGTGTGTGCACCATTTTCTGTAGTTCTGCTTTCCGGGCCCAGGCAAACACTTTTAGCTCTGCCTGCTCTCACTCCCATCAAATGATAATGATCAACATTCAGCACATCTCTCTCTGTCTCTGTCACTTCTGCTCGCTTTACCACAGCACCCTCACTGTCTCTGCACTCTGTCTCTGTCAGTGTCTGGACCCACGTGACCTCTGTTAACCTCCGTTTCCTAAAATAGTGCTGTGCTTATTGTGCACAATGAACAGCAAGTAGGAACGACAGAAATCAGTGTCTGCAGGTTTTTTATTTTTTAAATAAAGGAAGGGCCCGCTACTGGGGGCTATTTGGCTTATATGTCACAGCAGTGGCAGGCCGTACATTTCACACTTACACCTTCAGTGGTGTCCTGCCTGAATTAATCCACCTCTTAGTACCATCATTATGACACTACGGCTATAGAAACCACCAATATAGTACAGAAAGGCACCCTATTTTTTTTTTTCAACTTTTCGTTGTGGAGCTCCGTTTCCCTGCACATTTGTTCATTAAGCTGTAGATCCACTTGGGTTTCCCCAAAAAGTGTCCGGCCATGCTTTGGTGTCTTGCTGCTGCCTTGGTTAGACAGCTCAAGTTTGCAAACTCAGTGTGGCTTTAAACACCAAGTCGAACAACTGGAAATAACAGGAATTCCCAGAAATGCAATTTGCACTGCTCCTCGGAAGCTGTGAGCCAAGGCTACCACTCAAACTGAAAGTGGCAGTTAAACCCATAACCCGGCTGGGACAGGCTTGCTAGCTTTGGGGTTGGCAGACCTTTCCTGACAATGTAAAGCTTTTCTCAGAAAGTCTGACTTGAAAATGGCTTTGTGAATATATCTGCGATCAAATCAATTTCTTCTCCTCTGTTAGCCATTGGGGGTTGAAAAAACAGCTGTTACCTTTACAGGAATATATTTTAGTTTGTGCAGTTGATTACAGGTGCGATTTGCTAGCTCTGACGATTACGCTCTTTGACCATCCAATCAAAGGATGTGAAGATACTGTTGTTATTGTACGCCTGCTGGATGGCCCTGGTGATTGGTTAAATCAAGAGTTTCATTGGCATTTATTTTAAGCTACAGGCGCCTGCATTGTTGATTCTGAAGGCCTCAAGGCAGATTTCTTTGACCCTGGCAACACATGATGACTGAAATATGATTCTGAAATATGATTGCATAAAAGCTCTAACATAAACACTACTGAAAGCAGTGCAACTATGAGAAAAGCTATGAAATGAGAATAATAGACTATTGGGAATAATTGAATACATATTCATGGGAAAAAAATTAAAACGTAAGTCAATGATAGTGTTTAGGCTATCGGAGAAGGCCTTGTTGGCCCTAACGGCCCACCACTGCGTCACAACCACCGTCACTTCCTGGAAGCACCCGAGTGGAAATACGGGTGACTGGCTGGGGCTTGTTTTGGCCAGATGTTGACCGACATACGGACAAAAGAAGAGGAGCAAGGGATCAGGGCCTGTTGGAGTAAATTGCAGCCCCTGTCCAACACCACCACAGCCACTCCCACCCCCTTCCTGAGGCCCCATGGAATTGACAGAAACAATGACTCAGCTGTAGAATGGACAGAAATTGATTTTCTGCATAAAGGTTAAATGGGCAGGTCCTTTATTCCTCACTGTAGAGGTTGTTTTTGTTTTGGCCACTGGCTACTCTTGCTGTTTTATCGTCTGTGCCTTCTTCTTTAGGCACAAGTCGATGAGAAAGTTTGTGATGGACTTTTCTCATTTAAAAGTTGTCTGGCTGTTAAAACAAAGGGAAATGTGAAGTAAAAGCCTCCATTAATTGTCTTTCTACCTGTCATTATCTTAAGAGACCAAATGGGAAAAATGGGTTGCCATGGAACGTCTTAGGTGTGTGGTTTTAGCAGAAATTGTTGTGCAAGTACATTATGAAAGAACCAAGTCTCCTATCCCCTTCAACATTCTCACACACACACACACGCACGCACACACTGAGCAGACAACAAAACCTCTTGTGATGCATTCCTTTGTGACGTCAAACATGCTGCCTCTGGGCTACAAGGCGCAGCACAGGATG